GTATGAAGATAAAACGCACGACACGGTGTATATTACGCATGGCGATTCGGATTCTTATGCAGCTAAAGCGTGAAAATGCTTCCAAGATTATGCAATTCAGGGTCCATCAGGTTCGGACCCGAGTTGAACCTGATAGAACCGCGACTCGACCCAGTTCCAAAGTTCATAACCTGAGAACCTCCAAGAACACCCTAAGCATATCACACCGACATCGAGGACTGCCACAGTCTACTTGCATTTGGGGAGTTTTTCTAGCATAATTAGTCATGTCCAGAAGCCAGCAAGAAGTGACGTACTGCTCGAGCAATTACTATCTGTAAAGTACCCGTTGACGTAGCACGTCGTTCCCAGATATGTAACTTGATCCCAGGAGCTACTCCCATTAGTATGCAGCTCGTCATGATTCAGTATCAAACCTACCAAACCCCATTGAAGCAATCGCCATGCTTCCAGCACGCAAAGGTGAGTCTATCTCCTTTGGGAAACCCAAAGATTGCGCCTGCGTCTAACTTCGCATCGTACCGGCAGTTGACAGTATGGTCGACATTGACAATTTTGCAAGTCTGTGCTGATGCGCGCTTTTCAAGGTCCAGCTCCCCATGTGCTTCGGCTTCAGCGTCCGCGACAGGGGCAGCGGTGGCCAGGAGGGGGAGGAAGGCAACTGCGAAACCGAGGAACTTCATCTTGTATTCTTGTTAGCTAACGGTGTCTCTACCATCAGAGACCCTCGTGGAAAAGCGGTGTACTTATACATTGACATTTTCATATCCTCGTATTGCGCAGCCCACTTCGTCGTGTTCCCTCGCCGAATGCTGCTATTCATAGGCAAATAGCGGGATTTATCCGAGGTTGCATTCTCGTATCCCGCCATTTTTAGTATAACATCCGAAGTTTAACATCAAGGACTGGGAATTGCCCAATGGCAGCTGCGGAACACTTGTCTGCTTGTAACCGCGTGTGTAAGCAGGCCCATAAAAGGGGTGGTGTTTTGTATTAAACACCAGCGCTGTTGCGATATTCTCGCTTCCTCATTGTCGAGTCTCTTTGAGCATTGAGTCTGCATCCATTCCTATACATCACCTGCGATTGTGTGGCACGACATAAGTGTGAGTCTCTTAATCAACTATTATATACTTATCTACTCTCAGCTAACGAAGTAGGTCAGTCTCTGAAGCCGTTTTCTTTGGCAAGTCCTTCTGAAAGTCAATACAATGAAGCCGATAACTACCGCTGCCATTATTGCAATTTTGGCATCTCAGGCCCACGCCTTCAATCATGTGTGGTATTGGTGTGGCAAGTCTACTACTACGTGTGAGAATGAGGGAAAGCCGTGGAATGGAGTTTATCCGACCTACGACTGCGGACATAAATTAAAATGGGACAACTATCGGCAAGCTTATGGAAAGTGGTATCAAAGTACGGATGAGTGGGACGACTGGGAAAAGAAGGGCGGGTTTAAAGACTGCTGTCATGCGGCTGGGAAGGGCGCTTGCTACAGTTATCAAGAGTAGGTGGCTGTGTGTGAGGGACTGCCCAGGACTGATACCGGGGAAGGGAGAGAGTAGACAGAGAGACTCTGCTATCTGCTGTCACCATCGCATGCTTTTCTGAACCCGGTTCTACGTAATATTTTTCATCATGCAGTAAAGCTCACAGTCAACCGTAAATAACAATCCTATCGGTGACCTACCTTCCCAAGAAGCACCCTCTGCTCAGCTTCTAATGTCGGTCGACGGATGGGATGTCTTCTTTCGCAGCTGTCACATCTATCAACAATGAGTCGAGATATATACCTGGAGTCGCCAGGGCGGACCGAACAAAAGATCCCACGAAAACGATGGAAACGACATCCACGCTTGACGGTTGCACAATCAGGGACTCGCCGCTCCTTTACATGACTAGCAACGCAAGGAAGGCCCCCCAAAAGTTCACTATATTTGCTGCGTGCCCTAAAGGATATTGAGAAGGAGCTGGCTCCGAAAGAGACGATTGAACCGAGGGAGAAAGCTCGTCCTACGGGAATACTTGGAAGAAAATTTAGGAAAAGAATTCATTCGAGCCTCGCGGTCACCAGCCGCGTCCCCGGTGTTGTTCGTTCGCAAGCCGGGAAGCGGGCTACAATTCTGCGTCGACTACCCAGCCCTCAATGCCCTGATGGTAAAAAATCGGCACCCGATTCTACTGACTCGGGAGACACTGGATCAGCTCTGCGGAGCTCAGTACTATACCAAGCTGGATATTATTGCGGCTTTCATCGTCTCCGCATCGCCAACGGAGACGAATGGAAGACTCCTTTCCGGACGAGATACGAATTGTTCGAGTACTTAGTGATGCCTTTCGGGCTGCCCAATGGCCCTGCTTCTTTCCAACACTACGTCAACGATGTTCTAGGCGAGTGAGTATCTTGACATCTTTTGCACTGCCTCATTGTGACCACTGACAGAATTCGGATGGACCGTAGGAAGGTCAGTGCCATGGCGGAGTGGCCGACCCCTCGGAACGTCAAGCATGTCCAGGGTTTTCTCGGATTCGCGAACTTCTGCCGACGATTTATCCCAGGATTTGCCAAGAAGGCGGAGGATATACGGAGTGACGGACACATGTAGCTTATCTGGGTTCCCCTGAACGCGAGCAAGCTCTCCTTTGTCTTGCTTCCTCGCAGTACGTCTTGTATCTAGAGTCAACTGTAGCTGTTCTTAATACTGTAGTTCATTTCGAGACACTATCCAACTCTACGTATACGTGAGACCCTCACAGAGAAGCACTGCTTGGCTAGGTAAATGATGGCACCGTAGATTTGAAACGGCTCAGATGAGCTCAACGTTCCTCATCATTCTGGAGGGGAAGCTTCGACGTGAACTGTCTAGCCCTGATCAATCGAATATCACAGGGTCTATCCTACGATGGACGTTTTTTTGCCTGGAGTCTTCCCGGTCAAAAATGGCAAAGACCCAAAGGCACACATATATTCGTCCTCAAGATCGACCTCGAAATCAAAGCGGCACAGATCTTGACCAAAGGGGACATATACGTCGACGTGACACTTTAGAGATGGTCAGCTGTGTATTTAGACCAGAGCCAACACGATTATGCATCCTGGAGATGTTCTTGGCGAACTGATAGAAAGAGCACCACGTGCTGCGGCCCTAGCACCTGTTGGCCCCAGCACCCAAGTTGGCCCTGGAGATGAGTGCGGAGACTGGAATGCTTGTCCGCTGGCTCGCATGGGCAGAACACAGCTGAAAGCCATAGGCGCGAGAGTTATGGTCATCTCGGTGCCCTCGCGCATATGATGGCAGAGACGCAGCAGCCGATGGTAGTGGACGGTGGGATCGAACAGCGCAGAAAGTGATGATGAGTTGAAGCGTAAAGTGGCAGTCCACTGGACACGCGCGTGGGCTGTCACCCATTCCGACAGCTAAAGACCTAAATGCTTCTATCAACAGGCGGCCAGTAGTCGATCATGGGAATCGAGGGCAATGATGGAAACGCCGCGGGATCGAGGTCTGTCATTATCAAAGGCAGCTCGTCGAAAAACGAGGTAATGTCTGGGACAGCGTCAACAAGCTTACTTAGATTCAGACCCTTTCGACTCCTGCGGTGATTTTTGGATCTTTACCTCCGTCTACGTCCATTGTGGAGTGTGTGGTGGGCTCCTTCGCTTTTCCGAGAACGATCCGCAGAGCCGCCAGTACTTTGTTCGCTTCATTCGACAACTCGTTTGTGCGACTCCAAATGGCTAGACTCTTTTCCAGCAGACTTCGCACTTCCGACAGGGCCGGGGCCGACAGCCAGTCCTTGCGGTGCTGTACGACGAAACACGCGATACTGGAGGCTAAAAAGTACCCGTTGTTGATGAAGCACGAATCGACCAGACCAGTAGGGCGGGATGCATCCAAGACGTCAAAATCTTCCGCCATGCGGTGCTGCAGGCGCATGATCTCCGAGGCTGCCTCAATCACGATATGCCGACATTGACTGCTGCCATTGTTATCCTTTGAGGTCCCGAGGAACTTCCAGTTGATGAGAATTTTGGCTCTTTGGTAATGCATGTAGAAGTTGATCCGCTGTTGTGGACAAAGAGCTCGTCAGCATTCCCGGATACCCTTTATCGGTAAGCTGTGGCACTCACCTGAAATACCACACTTGGAGAGTCCAAGAGAGATTCGGCCATGGGCCGAAATTTGCAAGGATCGGGAATGGTCGCATATGTCGAGTCTAGTTCGGAGTTCACCGTGATGAGGTCCTCATAGGATAAAGGCAGAGGATTGCAGACCAAGTCTGTTATGGCGCCGATACTGGTGGCGACATGAAGCTTGGCGATGAGCACGGTGCTTGAGGTAAGTTCCTCGATGGGTCTGTCTGCCGGCAATTCTGTCGACCTTGCATCAAAGTCGCGATCCTGAAGGTTCCGTGGCGGTCGGGTGTCGCTGAGGGAGTGCTTGATGCTACTCGGAAGGCCCAACCGCGTTGAGAACCCGATGTCGAGTGAGTATATCATAGCCCACATCCGGCGCCTCATCTCGCCCTGATAAGGGGATAGGGACTTGAAGTGCTGTGGGTCTCGATGGTAGCCCATACGGACGGCTGTTTCAGTGCCCATGAGCCGCCTTCCTTAGACATGACGGAGAAGAATGGACGTACCAATTTGGACAATGTTGCCCATCAGGAGCCAGACCCCAGTGTTGGAGTCACTGTTCAAGTAGCTCTCGATCAAAAGGTAGTGAACAAGGGTTTCTATGATATCAGGACCTCCTTTGGCGAACTGGGATCGAACAAGGCACTGGACAACCCTTTCTCGATAGACCAGTATCTTATGCAAGGTTGTGGGTGACCAGACCAACGATCCGCTGTTCTGGGGTCTCCATAAGCCGGGCTCCTGGCTCTGGACTTGACTTGTGAGGCAGAAGATGCTATAGAGCAGGCCGATCCAGGAGACAGACGCAACACTAGGATTCTCCCAAAATGCGTTATACTGATTTGAGAGGTTAGCGGTCGCTCCTGTCTTACTTGTATGTGTGAGCACTTACCCTCTTCAAAAACTCAGTCGGATGTATGACAGCTGTTGAGATCCAGTGTCAGCAGGGATGCTTGAGTGCGCTCTCTCTCCCGTCAGCTGCAGACTTACATCGATACTCCTGAGCTCGAAAGTAAAATGCGACTAAGCTGTCGCACTCTCTCCGTGGCGGCATTGAATTGAGGAGCTCTTGGTCAGCGGCGTGCTGGCAACCCGCAAAGAGGAGGACATTCTGCTCGAGGGGTGACGATCCTTCATCGGATGCAGATTGATCTTTCGTCTCTGTCACTCCGCTTAATACAGAGGTCCAGTGGGTGGGTTCTTTAAAGCCAGTCCCGGTCCTGGATAAATGCAAATCCGTAGAGTCTAGCGACGGAGCGGAAGCGGAAATGCTCGGCGTTGCGAGCCCGCCTACCCCGTTGAGAGATGGGCTGCTATACTCGCCAAAGCGTTCAGTAGTGGTGGAGTCTTCGTGCAGTGTTCTGCACGAAGGGGACAGCGATGGCAAGTCAGCGTAAGTACACATCTGTTCGAGGTGGTGTTGCTGGGCATCGTATGATGTGGTTAGCTTCACTACCATCCTTCCAACAATCTCAAAAACTCGGATTTTTTTTTCTAGAAAATAATGATAATGATAATGATAATACAAAACCGCATAACCTACAACGCAATAGGAGCAAGGCTTTTGCCGGTCACATTTTCGTCTAGTCACTGCATTAGCTCTATCGGTTGCGGGGCGGGAATATCTGCGGAGCAAGGCGGACGAAACGCACTTTCGCTGGCGGCAAGAACTGCAAGAAAGCTGCCGCTTGTCACGACGGCGGCCAGGATGGGGGCGGAGGAAGACCGCATATCCATCAGGAGGGGCCATTATGCGGACGATGAAAAGGCTAGAGGTAGAAGACGAGATGAGATGATACAAAGAGAGGGTGAGCGGCTTATTCAATACTCCCGGCGGAGGATGAACGCGGAGGCGGAGGATTATTGATCATGGCCAACCACAGGTTGCATGACCCTCCGCTTATCTCCACTCATCATCCGCCCTCACGGTGATCGGATTACCCGTTTAGGCAATCAGTCTCCGCCGCTGACAACATCTACTTGTAAGGTACTCCGTAGGTATATAGCACTCTGTACACAATCATCCGCTCTGAAGGCTGTAGCTCTCGGACTTGACTAGTCGCGTGCATTCTTTCAAATTGCGTCCAGCCATGGCCAGCACAGCCAGCACTGACAACACCAGTCCCATGCATGAGCAGCAAGACCTGAAGGCCGACCCTGAAAAGGCTGGGGTGTCAATTCCCAGTGACAAGCCAGGTGACGCAACCAAATTGGACGACACCAGCTCCCCCGATGGCGGTCTCACTGGATGGTTGGTCGTTTTAGGCGCGTGGTGTTGCTCTTTTTCCAGCCCGGGTTGGACCAATAGTATGTATTCGGCCTCTTCCCAGTGTCATTGTAGCCTCTTGTGATGGAATATCAAGCAGCGACGTGATGGGCTAATAGTACCCGTCTTCCTTCAGGTGTGGGCAGCTTCCAACAGTACTACGAGACAGGCCCTCTAAAAGACTACTCCAGCAGCACCATTGCTTGGATTCCGTCACTCCAGTTGTTCTTCCTGTTCGCCTTAGGGCCTATTGTGGGCATCATATTTGACAACTATGGACCGAGGCCGCTCATCATTGGCGGCACGCTTTTCCACGTCTTCGGGCTGATGATGGCCTCATTGGCGAAGACATACTACCAGTTCATCTTGTCCCAAGGAGTATGCAGCGCCGTCGGTGTCGCATGTTTATATTCTCCAGGCAGGCTCAACCTATTCTTTGTCCCTTAAGTGGCTCATGCTGACAGATGTCCTGCGCGATGAAGCACTCGCCTGTGTTTCGACCTGGTTTTCTAAGAAGCGTGGAGCCGCCATGGGCATCATGGTGACAGGGTCGTCAGTCGGCGGAGTCATCTTCCCCATCATGATCAGTCGCATGATCCGGAGTACCGGGTACCCCTGGGCCATGAGGACAGCCGCCTTCCTTATCCTTGCCCTGCAGGTCATTGCAATTGTCACGGTTCGCCCAAGAACCAAGCCAGTGCCGAAGAAAATGCCTACCGGTCGCTTTGCTGCACCCTTTATAGAGTTCCCGTTTGTGATGTTGCTGCTGGGCATCTTCGTCCTGACCTACGGTATCTTCATTCCCATCGACTATCTCGCTGTACAGGGCTTTCAGGAGGCGCACATGTCAGAGGAGATGTCTCAGTACTTGGTCGCCATCTTCAATGCTGCAAGGTAGACCGATATCCCCACTGTCACTACCCAAAATGTCACGCAATGCTGACGGGTTTTGCATAGTCTTTTCGGTCGTCTGGCGGCTGGCTATGGTGCTGATAAAATCGGAAGATGGAATATGTTCATCATCGCCTGTACTCTGTCTGGCATTTCCGAGTTCGCAGTCTGGATCCCAGCCAAGCGCTCGTCCATCGCCATCGGCTTCGCCATCATGTTTGGCTTTGCCTCCGGAGCCTTTATTGGTCTATCCGGCGCCCTTCCTATCTCAGTGTCCCCTCCGCCCGAGATGGGCTACCGGCTTGGTATCGTCTTCTTCGCCATTTCGATACCCGCCCTCACTATGGCGCCCATCGGTGGGGCCATCCTGCAAAATGCGTCCAACGGCTGGCTGGACGTGGAGATCTTTGGGGGTGTTATGTGCGTTGCAGGGTCGGCGATTGTCCTGCTATCCAGGTGGCTCTACACCGACAAAAAGCTTTTCAAGGTGTTTTGAATGCGGAGGGAGCATTTTAGTTGACATGATGGAATATACAGGAAATACTGGCTGCTACAGCGTGATATGGTTGAGCTCAGAGCCAGAGTTACTTTCGTTCTTGTAACGACATGTCACTGGGGTTCTACCATTACTATGACATGGAATCAGCGGATTAGTTCAAGCACTTAGTGCAAAGAACATAATTTAATCTTGAGTTCCTATGAACCGGGTAATCGCTCACAAGGTAGCCACGCTCCAGGGAGTGGTTAAGCTCCAGGGGAGGTGCTGGTTGATTCCCACTGTTCAAGGTCAGCACTATTCCCTCCTCTATCTATCTAGTGAATGAGGGTAGATTCAGGAGTCCGGATAATAGGGCAGGTAGAACCAGGGAATAACTCTTAGTGGGGATAGCTATGGATACTTTAGGAAACATATTAAGCAAAAGCGTCTCCGCTGTCTTTACGCAGTGCGAAATCAGGTAAATATCTGGAACATGCTCTTATCATGCAAAACACACCTCGGACAGCACGCATTTAATATATTTGTGATTCCGGCCGATCTGCTGGGGGGAGTCCTACTGACGTATTCAAAGAGTATCGATCGGATTTTCTACTTCGCCACGGGGATTTGTGGGATTTCCTTTGTCTTCTCGTGGTTCATGGGTTGGGTAGATATAAGGAAGAAGCCGCAGACGGAGGATGGGGCAAAGCGGACGGAAAGGGTATAGAGCACTACGGATCTTGTGGTGGATGAGACAGCGATTAGATGAATACTTGTTTATTGTATCAATCGAATGAGGAATGAAGGCCGGTCAGAGTATAGCAACCGGCAGGTAGTTCATTCTGAAAGCACGTGATGTTCAGTGACTTGTGCCTATTGTCGTCGTCCCTGTTACAAGAAGTAGTTTCTGCATTACTCATTTTGGATACTAACAAAAAAAAGGAAAGCCAAGAAAAAGATGTCCTTTGCTGCAAATTGCGGGGTTGAAGTCTTGGGGGATGGGGTGTTGGTTCAAAAACGCTTGGTGTGGGTAAGAGGCTTATATATCTCGTAATAACTAACTTGAATTTCTATATCAAGCAACAAGACAGACCCCAATGAGCAGCACTAGCCAGTTACATGAATTGTATCGGGATAATAAGAGCGAGGAGTCAACTGCTCTGCCATTTCACCATGACCTATCAGCATCGCAATTGTCCACCTTGTAATCCTTTTTCAAAGGGCAGCAATTGTATCATCCTAGGCGTGTTCGCACGACTATTGCGAGACCCATGATGTGACAACAGACACTGCGATGACATAGAAAAAACATAGGACTAAAAGATAGCTTCACAGTTGGTATTTGAAGCACTCAGACGCGAGACTTCCATAATCGCACGGGCAAACGCGTTGGGTGCCTGGTATGGTATATTTTCCCCGACACCAGGGATCAGATAATGACAGCGTGGCCCTGTAAAATGTTTTGCCGTTGCTGATTCGTTACTTGGCGTTAAGGCGACACTATTCTCGGGATCCAGGGTCACAGACGGAACAGCGATGAGAGGCTGATCGTCTAGCTTATTTGCCAAATCAGCGAATGCTGGATCACCAGGCGCATATAAAAGTCTGTTCCGGTAGAAATTGACCGCAATGTCAACAAAATCTGGATTGAACAAGGAAGTGACCGTTAGGTCTAGATATTCTTCGGTAAAATTCCATCCAATAGAATTCTTCTTCCATAGCGTCTCTATCCATCTTTTGGGTGTTTCTGCAAGACCTGCCGCCCCTCGCGGAGTGAGAAAAAGGTAGTAATACCATTTTGTAGCCTCCGAGTTGGGATCACTGGGCTGCCAGGCTGTGGAACGGTTCTGGATAAGATAGCTGTTGGCCGCCACCATGCGAGTGCATCTTTCGGGCCATAATGCTGTTGCGACGTTCACAGCAACAGAGCCCCAGTCATACCCAGCGCATATTGCGGTGTCGAGATGAATGGCATCCATCAATGCAATAATATCGTACCCCAAAGCAGCCTGTTCGGCACTGCGTGGAGTGTGTGGATAGAGGAATCTGGTTCCACCAAAGCCGCGAAGGTAAGGCACAATGACTCGATAGCCTTGGTTGACAAGTAGTGGTACGACTGAAACGAAAGCATCAATTGAATAGGGAAATCCGTGAACTAAAAGCACAGTCTCGCCGCTAGAGGGCCCGGCTTCGTAATACTCCACGACGAGTGAGCTAGGGTGAGCAGTTATTGCTCTTTTCAGAGGTGCGAGTCTTCCATTATCAGACAAAGTTGAATTTGCTCCCGTTGCTTTTGAGGAACGGGTGGCTAAAGCGAGCAATAAGAGGACACTGAGAAGCAGCATGACAGATAAGAACTGAAAGTCGTTTTGTTAATGTCGAAGGCGGACTTAGGGCTTTTAGGAACTATTCGATTTCGGGGTGACATGTAGCCATTTATATCGGACTAGAAAATTCGGGGGAGAGACGGCTACTGATGCATGGCTCCAGCTTCTTGAAGAATGACCCTCAGGTAATATTGTGGGATAAGCACTAGGTAGGGAATTTAGGGGGCTGTGCGCCGCATGGCCAATCTAGTTATTGTATGTCTTATACAAGCATGAGCAACGCAAAGCCTATATTCATGTTGACGGAGGAGTTGAGATCATTGCAGCCTGCCCACAACTCGTTGTTCCCCTCTCTGCTTTACATACATTTCCGAAAATTTGAGATCGAGGTCGACACCTATATATACATCTCTGCACGAGGCTCCGGTAACATTTAACATCTAATCTGTGTCTGTATAGTTGCAAGATGCTTGAGTGGCGAGAATTTTTCTGGCTGCGTATTATGGGCCAGACTTAAGAGTCGTACTGTAGTCAGCAAGATGGTTCCCTGCAAAGACCCACATTTGTCCAATAACAGACTTCCATACGCTGAGGCTGAGTAGATACTATGCTCTTTGGTTCTTACAAAAAGAAAATGCTAGGTGGTGCCGATGCCGGGTAATCCTGTATGGACTAATTTTTTTCGTCCTTTTAAGTTCATGGGCGGACGCTAGTTCCCGCTAGTCCGCTCAATGGGTAGGACAGGCATTTGAGGCACGAGCTCCAGGTCCGATTACTATCAGCCGGCAACATTATGGAGCGAGAGCGAGTTATTACTCTTGCGTCGGTCCTGTACTTAATTACTTTCCATTAATGTGCAGGCGGAGACTAGCGGATTAGTGATATTACGCCGAGTAGTCACTCATAGTGACGTATTTCACATATGAGTGAGTCAACACCCTTGAGCGAGTCAGCCAACGCGTTTTGGACGCGTCGAGGAACCTTATCCAATTCAACCACCTACCATGCCTCTAAAAGCGTGTAAAGATTCGAAAAAATTAGCAGAATAGGAGACGAGAATCCAAATTACTATTCATTGTTTGAAAAAGCAAGGAATACGGATGCAAGTTGTAGATAGTAAGTCAAAAAAAGTCTTCAGATTTATCGTTGAGGTGAAGCAGACCAACCTTATATTAACGGTCGGCCTGTAGCATGAATTTCCCTACTAGAAGCGATGGCGATGCTCCTTGTCTCCTAAAGTTTTAGGCCCGCCAATAGTCGAAAGAATCCCGGTAAGGAAAACGCCGGGATGCCTGTATCAACAAACTGCGCTGCGTATAGCCGACCAAGGCGCAGTTGCATGCCAACAGAGCATGCAACCATGAGAAACGAGCTACTGACGCATTGAGTTCAACAGGTGGCGAATTGAGCGTGGATTCAGCCTCCTGCCGTCATTCCAGTAAGATTGACTGCGGACTAGCGCCCGCTTAGCCCAGTCAGATATCTAAACCACTCAGCACAAACAAAACAGATATGCTCCGTTGGTGGCACTAAATAATAACAGGTGTTTTACTCCTTATATATCTGTAGAATGTTCATGCCCTTTGCCCTCCTTGAGAAATAATCTAGTTACCCAGGCCCCGAAAACATGGGCTTTGACTCCGATGCCGTCTGGTTTGGTATGTCTGACTGTTGTCTACCGAAGACTGGAAACTCAATCTGACCATTCAGTCACCGGCTGTTCTTCTGGTCTTGGAAAATCCATATCCAAGGCTGTGTACGATGCCGGCTTCCGCATTGTGGCAACGGCCCGCTCGACTACCTCCCTCACGTACTTGCCCGACGGTCCAAGAGTGCTCAAGCTCAGTCTGGACGTGACCTCTGCCACATCGATCGAGTCAGCCCTGTCTGCTGCAGTAACCCACTTCGGACAGATCAACGTAGTGATCAACAACGCAGGATACGGGCTGAGAGGGGACACCGAGGCCGTCCCGGAAGAGGAGGCCCGCAACCAGATGGAAACCAATTTCTGGGGACCGGTCCGGATCACTCGCGGAGCCCTGCGGATCTTCCGTGAGGTCAATCCCCAGGGCCAAGGGGGCACAGTTGTGCAGGTTTCTTCCCTTGGGGGATGGATTGGGTTTCCGGGGAATGCGTTCTACCATGCCAGGTATAAAACCCCTCGGGCTTCTCACTCTCACTGCCCATGGGACTTGACTAACCACTGAGCGCAGCAAATTCGCACTCGAGGGATTCACTGAATCCGTGGCCAAGGAGATGGATCCATCGTGGAACATCAAGTTTCTCCTCGTGCTGCCGGGAGGCGTGCGCACAAACTTCGCTTCGACTAGTGCCAAGGCGACCCCCCGGCATCCGGCCTATGACCACCACAGCAGCCCCCTCACCCAGCTGCTGGAATACGTGGCTAATCCCGCGTCTCAGGAGACCTGGAGCGATCCCGATATCTGCGCTCGGCTCCTCGTCAACACAGTGATCGCCCAGCGAGAACGACCGCTACCGGCGCGTCTGCTGATGGGCGCAGAGACTATTCCCCTGATTCGCGGTGATATTGAGAGGACGCTTAAAGAGATATATGAGTGGAAAGCGGAGACCGAGAGCTGCTCGCCAAAGGGTGGCGCTCGCGTGAACATTTCCCGGCTGAATTAGATTAAACTTCGCGTGCAAGTTGATACCGGCGTACTCCGTGTATGTTAGCGTCTAAGCCACATGTTCCAGTCGTGGGCCAGTGAATTCAATCTTATCCCACGTCAGCACTAGCGGCTTTAAAGGGAAATTGGTCGAAGAATCCGTCGCCAACTCTACTTCTATTATTTGCCTATGCATCACATAGCCGACTTCTAAGCCCTTTGATCTCTTGTAGTTGAGCAAGAAGAGATCGAACGCAGTGCCGTTGTGCGTGTCATGGCACCTACCACGGATAATGCGTGCTTAGCATGCGCCCAGAAGAAACGCAAATGCGATCGAGCTGTTCCTACATGCTCCACGTGCCAGCGGTAAGGGTATACCACCCATGGGACGGAAGTTTCTTTGTTTCTAAGCAGATAGACTTCGGCGATATTGTTTCTACAGCAGGAGCAAGTTGGCCCTGACAGGAAGTGCCGCTGCGTTCACGCCTTTGGAATCTTACAGTGTGGGTCAGGATGGGATGTTCTATCACTCTGTCCAGCGGGCCAGGCTGATAGATGCCATCCAAGGTACATTGGCGCAGGTAGCAGGTACACAACAAGCCAACCGAGCTTGCTTGTCGTGCAGGGTGGGGAAGAGACGATGCGATAAACAGTTACCCAGCTGCACACGATGCACCAAGTACAGCTATCCTTAATGGCCTGCCTGCCTGTTTAAATGCCGCTGACCGTGGTAGACTTCAGATTCGCTGCGTCTATTCAAGTGGTATGGTCGCTATATTCGATCACGAAGCTGCTGTGTCCTACTTTGCTGGATCGCTGTCTCAACCACGCGTTGATGCTGAGGTGTCGCTCCCCATACCTAAACAGAAGCACACGCCTATGCTGCTGCATTCTTGTAGGTGAAAGATTCCCATACATACTTACGATCTGTTTTGAAAAGTACACGTCCTAACCATAGGTCCGAAACGATATCCGGAAATAGTCCTTGAGACGTTCGGAATGGCGCCGCTCCCTGTCGAGGATGGTAGTCTAGCCAGTCTGCTACGCACAGATTGGGTTTCCAAAGCCCTGGCGGACCCATGCTTCTTGCATGCTACGCTGTTCTCCGCATCAGCTCACCTGGATGCTTTTCAGCGCAGAAGCAATAATCATGTAACAACATATCACTATACGATGGCCCTGCGGCTTCTTCGTGAGAAGCTTGATTCTCCTAGTGGTATGTTTGACGTGGGAACGCTCGCGTGCATTCCTCCCTTGGTCTTCTTCTCGGTGAGATATGCCCGTTCTGTCTCTCAGGATCCAGGCTTTAACAAAGGTAGTCGGTGAGGAGTGATGAGCAATCATCCCGAATCCACAGGGAAGGCCTCATGCAGTTACTGAGAGCCAAAGGGGGGCTGCAAAACATGGGCCTTGATGGCTTTTTTTCCGCTCTGGTAGCCGTGTGAGTGCTGCTTTCGACCATTCACCCAACTGTGCAGAGTCTCTGAACCTAGCAGATGTGTCATGACAGAGGCGATCGTATTCGATCTAGATCTTGCCATTCCGGGCGTGGAAGTTCCAGCAACACCATTAACACCGCCGGCAGGCCTGCTCACGGCCGCTTTGAAAAGGGCTACGCGTCAGACTGGATACTATAACCTCCCCCGCAGAGCGATCACGATCTTACAGGACATCAGCCTCGTCTGCAAATATTCGGATGCACGATACGTGGGTGCTACAGACGAGGGACGCTTGTATGACTCGACCAAGGCCAAGTGGCGTGATCAGCTACAACGAAAGATCAAGCAAGGTCTCGATGTACCGGACAAGACGCATCCATCCACCCCCAACGGAGTCTTTCAATCCTGCCACGCCGCGGCTTTGTTATTCTGGTATCTTTTCGATATCTACTTCTCCGTCGACGCAACCACGTTAGAGGCCCTCGTCCAAACTCTGAAAAGTGCCTTGGTCAAAGCGTCGATGGACACCTGGATCAGGTGCTCCCCCGAAGCACACACATGGATCTGCCTGGTTGGAGCGGTGGCCACTACGCCGTATAGTGATGGTCGAGTGTGGTTTAGCCTGCGACATGGGCAGCCGGTTTCGTGTCTTCGCAGCGAAGGCCCGTCTCTCTATCTGGAGTCCTGGAAAACGTATGACTGGCTGAACCGGAGGCGGAAATTGAGGCTCAAGTGTTAAACTCCTGATGTTGGCCGTGCCAGCAAAGACTATGGAGCTCAAAAGACCTGTCCTCCTATGCAATTTATACTTTAGAACAGAACAACTTTTCACCAAATCTGCTGCAGATGGTCCAGTCGTAGGTGGATCCTCCGGCGTATTCCATTGCGCTCTAGCGTCATTTGCAACGTGAGCCTCGTGCCGAGGGTCATGCGAGTCTCAGAAGTCTGTCAACATAGCCGACAACGAGCGATTGGCCAGGTTTGGGTGCGCTGGGTGGTGTCCAGACCCTAGTTACAGTACTAGTCGCGCTAATTGCGCGGCTCGACCGAACAGGCAGTCGGCCTGCTGGTCGTCTAGAAGACCTTGCACGGATATAGAAAAGCCTCTAATAGCGCTGAATCCCACGCGGTTACTAATCCCTATATAGACCGTCTTTTGCAGACTGGATACGGTGAACAAGACGCGGCGGCAGTAGTAGCTGTAAACTCTATATCCGTAGTTATTGCCGACCGCCCTGAGATTAATACCTAAAGTAAGCGTAACGCGGGGCTTCTAGAATCTATACCCGACTTTATAGAGAATCCCGACTGCGTTAGGGCGATTATATAGAACAAATCTATAGTACTTGTACCTTCCCCCAGCCGCGATAGACTCGTTATCTAGCTTAAAAAAGAATAATCTTACTAGCTAGACTTTAATTAGTGCGTCAGGAATCCGATAGTTAAACTTACCTAAGGTATCTAGCGCCTAAATATTATCTAGCTCTAGTAACGGTCTAGTAATAGGGCAGTCTAGGCGGAAGACGTCCAGGCGCTATATTGCCTAGGATACTATTTTACGTATCTTTCTAGCTGCGGCACCTGTCTACAGCAGGCAACGACAGGAATATATAGAGGTCTCATCTAATAAACTCTTTGTAGGGCTAACAGTCGGCCGTCTCTACTAGAATGGCCGAGTTATCTAAGACATATCCCGTCCCGATGCTAACTATAAGATCTAGTCTCCTAGCAGATAGCTAGATAATCTAGCTCTCTTAAAGGGCGGCTCGGAGCGGACAGTTAGCGCGGATACTACTATTCTACAGTATCCTAATCCTAGCAAGCGTTTTAGGCGTGAAATATCTGTCTGCGTCAGCTTAGCAGTGTTAGACCGAAGGAGACACGGACCCGAGCGTCGTAACACTGCACTACGCGCTACAGATAAGGATGTTAGCGAATCTTGTTAGGCCTTGTCCAGGCAGAGTCTCCAGATAAATCATAAACAGCAAAGAGCTAGAAAAGAGATTTAAAGAGGGAGATTAGTAGGGGGAAGGCACGGGTTGGGGTAGAAGACCCCGGCCAGCTTAATAGATGTCTGCCGGTATAATTGTGTGTATACTCCCCCGTCCGGCAGGTAAGAGCCCGATCCTTAGAGCAGCTATTTATATTTCCTAGAGTAGCGGCTTGTCGCCCTCCGGCACTAAAGTCTAGTAGGCGGACTATATAGCCGGCCGTCCTATCCCGCGATAGTTAGTTAAAAAACCTAAGACGCTGTCTTCCACGCGGCTAGCCGTGAACGCGATCTAGCTACCAGACACTAGCAGCGCGGCGGAATTAAAAAACCAGCGCACTAAATTAAAGACGCTCTACAAGGCCTTATCTAGTACTATTAAGTTATAGCGGCTGTCTGCTATTTAGATTGTAAGCCACTCCTAGAAACACCTCTAAAGAATCTAGAAGTAGGGTTACAGAGGGAAGATATCGCGTATAAGAGTTTAGAATTTTATATCCGCGTCGCGGACGGGTGTCCTACAGACTATTACTTCGGACGTAATTACCGTACCTACGGACCGCGGCCGGGTTAGCCTATATCTCTGCGTGACTGCAACCGCTCTGACTTCCTGACAGCCCTATCGAATACGTAGGGCGGAGTACGGCTACTTACCAGCACTAGTGCTTACTATAAGATCTACAGCCTTCTAAAGACCGCCGCAGCCTTCTACCTAAGCCTTAAACGCCGCTAGAAACCTAAGCATCATAATCTCATGCACTCCGCCGCCGTTAAGGATTAGAATAATCAGCCGCCTTATTGGCGGTAGCAAGCAGATCACAACCAAGCTCGGCCGGAAGCATAACAGGTACTTAACTAGCTTAAAATAATACTCGGCAAGAGAACCGCGGCTCCTAATAATAGCGACGTAGATATCGTAGAGCGTATAGCTATAGAATAAAATATACTCGGGCGGATGTTACAGACAGAAGAGACAGATATAGGATAATTAGAGGGCCCCCTAGATGTTCTTTTTCTTCTATATAAACACGCGCTGGATCTACGCGGATATCTATATTACGGAGAAGATAGCGAAGAAAGATTTAAATATACTCTCGAGCTGTTGGCACTAGGCGTCCGCCTATACAGGCTAAAGCTTAGATAATATAGCTTGATATAGCGCGGTGTAGACACTCCGAAATATCTAAATAGAGTGAAACCCTGCCTGTGTTAGTCTGTTATCTGCTAGTTCTCGCGAGCGAAGAAAGAATACAGCTCTATTAGCGGCTTAAGACCTACTGTGTATTCCCGGTAGATATATATCTATAAGAAAGGCGGACGCAATAAAGCCGGCTAAAATAATAGAAAGAAGGCTGGCTCTAGTAACAACGCAGAAAACCTCCTGTAAAGCCTAGGTCTAACTAGCGTTGGTAATACCACGCGGCTAACTAGTATAAAAGCTGTTAAAGAAATCCTAGGGTCGCTGCGCTAGATATATTAGAGTCTTACAGAATATCTAGTCTAAGTAGACCGTAGAGAACGAGAAATATACGTTAGATTACGCGGTCTATATAGCGTTAAACTCCTATAGCAGATACTGTTGTAGTAATATAAAACAGCTAACTGGCGATAACTAACTACAGCCGCGCAGATCGACGACTGCTACTAAAATAGCTATATAAGAAATAGCGACAGCCGCAAGTATATTCCCTATAGTTTTACTACACGCGAGCTCGTCTGGGTTGATAAAAATAATAACTAATTAGGGCTAGACCGACTATAATCTGTCGATATTAACTAACAGTACAGCGCTCTAGACTTTTAGATATTCCTAGATACGGGCAATATTTTCTAAATTAACAGGAAATACGCATACTATATCTACTACTAAAAAAAGTAAATACTAAAAAAGCAGATTGTAGATCTCCTACGGGCACTACTTATAGATATCTAAAAGATAGTACCGGCGTGCCGGCTCGCGAACCGGCTCAGATAGCCCGCATCTATTACTGCGGTCTTCCGAGTAGCCCGCGTCAATAATCTATACTAGCTTCAGCAGCAAGATAGACGTTAGATAAAGCTGGGCAAATCTCTGCCGCCAATAGCGACCCTAGTTATTATACGGATACAGTAATCGGAACGCCTACATCTTAGTCTGCCGGCCGATAAACAACTAGACCAATAGATAATAAGTGTTAGGGCGGTCTACAAGGGCCAGGATATACTGCATACGATCGCTCTTTACGACGGTCCAGCCGCCGGGGCCATATTCCAATCCCAACTAAGCTGCCATACTTGCTGCCCGGGGTATAGTTATATAGGTCTCCCGCTGCGTCTCGGTTAGGCGCTAAACAGAGTCTTTAAGTTCTACAACGGTCCGGAGCTCTAGGGCAGGGTGTTTTCTACGGCCATCCGCTTTTCCGGTCATGCCCGACTGGATGCAGTATTGCAGGACGTGCTTGAATCGGACCATCTTGGAGGACTCCTGATTGGGGCATATGGGGAATAAGACGGAAGACCTGAAATACAGGGCGTCCGCCCAGTGTCTGTCTATGTTGGGCCTCCGGAACTACCAATTCGCTATCGATCTACCGCAGCACTCTTTTTTTTTTTTTTTTTTTTTTTTGGGCGGATGGCAGGAATCTTGATCGACATTTTTGTGCAGCCACGAACGAATCGAGGGACGGTAGAAACGTGGTGAGTGCAATGACTGCCGGCGCGGCGGTGAGATGTGTGGATTGTCGGTAGCTAACGGAGAGGGACGACATACAGGAACGGTTTATTTGCGTTGCCTATTCCCGGGGTCGGCTCATTTTTATGGACGCTCCCTGTCTTCCCGTTGTTTCCTTCTATATCTTGTCTGTTACACCCCGCCCCAGCTCCAAATCCGTCTTCACATCCGTCTTCAAACCCCCTTCAAACCCCCTTCAAACCCATCTCGAAACCCGCCCTGATTTTGTCGCCGCAGGCTCTCAATGCAAGGAATAACTTGGGGCCCTGGGCCGATGCGGGAGAGCCACCAGATGCCGACGAAGTGGTGGCCGTGTATACAGTGCCGGGAGAGAATGGAACAGAGAGTGCGATGTCGAGGACGAAAGCCGACTCTTTATCGCGTTATCGATTGCTACTGCTCGATGTTAGCTTCCCGCGGCCCTCAGGAGGATAGGATCACCTACAGAACGTAAGGTATGTCAACAAAGAGTCCGGTTCCAACCCTGACGGCTCCCCCGGAGGGCGCACGGCCGCGGGCACGCGACGCGGCCGCATTGCTTGATCCTCCCGGATGGCGGGCGGCGTCTCGTGGCCAGTCTGCGTGGGCTCATCGGCTGAGGATGGTGCCCGGCATGCTCCCGGCCTTGGGGATACACTCCCTGTCTGTGGATATTCCGTTGACGGTGAGTGATGTCTGTTCCGCAAAGGTGGCCGGACCCGAACCTGTCGCCCGGGTCCTGAAGGCTCTTCCATCTCAGTGACCGGGCCCTCTGCTCCGCTCGTTCGCTGTTTAGGAGTCCACCCCTAGTTGAGACAATTATAGACCCCGCGGAGTGAGTTAGGCGATCAGTTCGTCCTAAACTTTTTGTTCCAGAGGCAGGCTCTTATCTTCTAGAAGGTGCCTTTTGCTATTTGCCTGTCGATCCAGGGTATAAATTCCCGGTACTCTTAAGCAGACCACTTTATAGCATTTTAACTTTTATGTCTTGGTTAGAGTGCTCAAAATGTGCAATCCAGTTTATCTCACCCGGGTTAATAGAGGCTGTTTATAACTCTTAGAGAGAAATAGACTGTGTTCCATAATGGTAAGCCGTAGGCCATTTCTCACGTAGTTAATAATAGATAACCTCTGACCAATAACCGCCGTCGCCCGTCAAATGCGCCAACCAGACGGCTACCTCGACAGAGTTCAACACGGGTCGCAGCCTACGTTTAACTAACCCACAGTCGTTAACCGGCCGGTCTAGAGCGATATAGAGCCTGGTTCCTCGAAGCGCTCCTCTAGGGAGGGGAGAAGTGAGATATACGAATAATTTTTTTCCTAGACGCTTAGCTCTCCCGGAAATATAAAGCGGGGCCCCTATTAGCGCCCCCCGCGCCTACCGGTTTAGTTTTTTTATAGGGGTGTACCTGCGCTGTTCGATTATACGTTCAACCGGAAATAACCAGTCATCCACGGTCATTCGCCCTAGTCTTTGCGACTGTTATACGCGATTAACAGCTGTTAGGGGGCCCAGACCAGGTTAAGCGGAAGATTACTAATTGCGGTATTCCGCACGCGCGCTATAAATAGCTAGTTTACAGGCTCTAGTGGTCACTGAGAGCGTTGCTTTTCTGGTTTCCTCGCGCGGCCGTCAGTTAACATCGGTTATTTATCAGTCTGTCCGCATTCTAAGGCTATAGCGAAGAGACGGGGAGATCAGTCGGACCCGCGGACAGAGAGGAGAAATACACCCTCGCAAAAATTGTCCTAAAAATTGTCGCGTCCCACGAGAGTGCCGGATTAGGACGAGGGTTTGAGCAGCGACTCGGCAGAGGATAAGCCGCCTCCGAAACGGGGAGAGAAACGAAGCTGTGATCAGGACTCCTGTGATCGACCTGATGCACTCTTGAAAGTCCCTATGAAGCAGGTAGAGATCAGATAAGCGGTGCGTCCTCGCCACTAGCAGCCGGACCGACCTATATTTCACTGACCTCTGATAGATCGAGAGGCTGGTGCACGATAAACTCGGGTTGTTCGCTTAGATTTGCGAGGCAATGAGGTATATCCAGGACTACCATCCGGATGTTTTAAATAAAGTAACCAAGTGGGTAAGGATTAGCGATGATGCTTTGGGACTGATTACACACGGGCCTTAATCGGAGACTACGTTCGTCGAACATGAGGTGCTCCCTTCCCGACCCTCGCTAAAGTCGAGAGGAGTCTGAGGATTGCCGGCCAGCTAACCCCCTTCTCCGGACCCCCACAGCGTTAGTACGTTCCCAGCGGAAACGGACTGGACATCGCGTGCACAGCCAGCACGCGCGAGCACGCACCGCGCTGCGCCGAACAAGGTGGCGGCCCTAACCTCTAATTCGCAGGAAACGACGAGCAGCCTGCTGGTCCCTAATCCGTCCTCTGGCTCGTCTGGGGCAGGCGCGCCGACAAACGCGCTACTCCAAACCGCCTACGGTGGACAGCAGGCCTTCCCGCCCATCGGGGGTTCCCAAGGTGGCACGAAAGGGAACGTGGCACCGGGTCAATCTGGTGCCCCGGCCGCGCTGGTCGCGCAGACAGCTACGACCCTAGCGCCTGCTCCTCCGGGCTATGCGCCGTCAGTCCCGCTTGCGCCGTCCTAGCTTACTCAATCGTCAGCCTAGGGCATCGATCTCGGCCAAAATCGCACTAATGGCCCTTAGACATAGTATCCGGGACAGTACTATGCGAGCGGCCCTGGCATGCACGTTGGCGCTCAGCCAGGAGGCCTACCGGCCGCGATGGTGCACGGAGCGCCGGCTCCGCCACCTGCGCCTACTGCTGCTGGCCCGGTGCCGTCCTAACCGCCCCACGGCAACATCGTGTCCATACAGCCGAACAGGGGACTGCCGGTCAACCTAATATGGTCGAATCCTGCGGCGTACCAGTTACTTTTGGCGGCATAAGCTTCATCGGCGCCGGTTAGTTAGTAATACAGTGGTAGTAGATCTAGCGCTGTGGCCGCGCTTCCTTAGCCGGGAGTGTCGAGCCTCGATAGACTTCAGTCGCACCCTTCCCAGGTCTCTCTCCCACCTTATTTGGCGAATATGATTTTGTATGCTTAACCCGGACTGTTCCATATGTCGGCCCACCCGCCGGCTGGTGGCGAACCGTAGGGCCCTTAGGTGACCGGGGTGTCCTAGTAGACGCTTGATGGCATCTTGCTAGATCTAGGGGACACCAGCAACTACGCTAACATGTCCCTGCTCTAGAGTGGAACCCAGATGGATAGCTGTTATAGATTAGGTGGGACGCCACTGGCGCCTAGCATAGCTCCTTATCAGCACTGGCCTGTGGGCGGTTAGGGCTGCTGAACATGTGATCTAGTACTAGACACGAACAAATTCCATCCCAAGATCACCGAGTTTTCCTACCGTTTAAGGACGCCGCGTAAGCCCTCTCGCTTTCTATCCCCTAGTCTTAATGCTACAAGGGCCAATAACTAGCGTTTGTCTACAATATCCAACTCTAGTATAGTCCGCGGGAATAAGATGTATACCCTCCTCCTACTACCTAAAATAAGCTTAGCCGGATCGCGTGTCGCTTCCCGGGCGAATAGTGTGATCGGAAGTAAGACATTGGCCCCGGCTTATTTCTGGTGATTGATCCTGTGACCCGGGACGGGTGTATTGTGTTTACAGATACAGAATTAAGAGAAGCTTTAAACGTGACAGTTGAAGAGCTCCATAGAGACAAGGCTCCACAATCGGATTCTACCGCGAGTCAGGTCCGCGTCAAGGTGAGACCTGCCAAGACATGTCAACGAGCCTCGGCCGAGTCTTACCGAAAGAGTAAGGAAGAGAATAGGCGCACCTTCTCTCTAAAGACCATCGTGCTCTTAGAAGATATCTTCCCAAACAGCTCCGCAGACCATGCACAACAGGTATGTCTGGGTAGAAAACCGAGGCTACGAGAGTGTGTTCCGACAGTATTATACTCCCATTTGATCTCTGGTACTTATAAACCAAAAGTAATGACATATTAAGAGTTATCAGGACATACAGTAACGGGCCAGTACGCCCTAGAGAGAAAACTTAATAAATGTTACTTGACCAGATGCATGTCCAAGAGCAAGAAGATCTCCAAACACAGCAACACCAAATCAACCAGGCATGTGGAAAAATCAATCGCTACTCGTTCCATCCACAAGAAGATGAATGTTTCATTCTATCATGTCTTGAATTGTGCATTTGTATGCGCCCCAGCATGTTGAACATCAGTTGCCTACTGTGCCGCAAGTGCTGACATAGTTCACCGTCATCTTGCATCCATTATCGAAAAATACATGGCCGCAGGCCCCACAGCCTCCCTGGTCGGGGTTCTCGAGGTGGTCGTATGCCCTGTCAAAGTTAGAAATGAGATACGCTAGCACAGCGGAGGATGGGGTAGATACGCTTGCATCGTGGTTCCACGGAGGCGACAACCGTCACCCTCAACAAAGACACCACAGCCACCGCCGGCATGTTTGCCATCAGTGTAGCATGCTCCAGTGTCCGAGTCCTGCGATGTAGTCCTATCAATCCGCTTATCAGTATTTGCCTGTTAGAATCAGAGTCAGTGGTGTACGAACCCGTAAATTTCGTTCCCACGCAGGTAGCTCTTTGCGACATCGCAGAATGCCCGGAAATTACCGCCGGTGAAGTGACCGCACATCCATGAGTTGTCCTTACAGGAAAGCTCCGTTTCTGCGGGGCTAAAGGCGTCCGTCGTGGTTGAAGCCGTGGTCGAGGTGGTTTTGGTGGTGGTACTTGAGGTGGTGGTACTGGTGGTGGTCGCGTGCAGGGAAGACAAGTCCTTCTCGATCGAACTGGCCACGCTGCTGGCTACAGCCTTGTCAAGGGTCCAGTGATAATACTTGTACGGCGTCTCAGCGGCGACGTGGCCGGAGATGGTCGTCGTCGTTGTGGTGGGCTCGGCATCGCAAGCAGTGATGGTCTGGCAAGAGGTCGAAGTAGTCGTAGTGTAGGTAGACGCGATAGGTTCCAGGGAGGATGAGATATACTCCGTGCATATATCAGCCTCGTTGGTCTCGCAGTCAGATTCACCCGGCTCGCAACCCTCGCCTGTGCACACCCCATTCCGACAGTTCTGTCCGGAACAGCTGACCTTGTGGCAGTCAGGGCCGGAACACTCGCCTGTCACCTTATCGCAGAGGGGACCGATGCAGCCCAGCGAGATACAGCCGGGGCTCAGACAGAGGCCCGTCCCGCCAATACAGTGGTTGCCGTAGCAGCCGACCTTTTGGCAGTCCGAGCCGGTGCACTCGCCGTCGTCGCCGCACCCCGACCCACGACAACCAGTCTCCTCGCAACGAGATCCCAGACAGGCCGATGAAGAGGGGTCGCAATCGTCACCTGTACATCCTTTTTTCACGCACAACGGGCCAACGCACTGATTGTTGCGACAGTCCGGGCCAGAACATTTTGAATGCCGAGGGGGCTTTGGATCCGCGGGGTCCTTCCAGCCCTCATTCGCCTTGGGATCATCACAGATCAGGCATGGTGTATCGCAGTAGGAGGAACACTTGGTTCCGCAACCTGCGGTGCAAGTCGGGCCTGGGGGCCCCTGCGTGAAGGTGATTGTGGGTGTAGGGAGCTGGATCGGTAGGGAAGTCGTGGACCATGGCCAGGGAGGTGGATAGAGGGTGCGATAAGCGGTGCCTACAGGGAATGTCCCGTTGGTGTCATTGGACGAATCTTGGAAGACAATGGGCTCGAGAGTAACGCTAGGGAAGAGAGTCGTCGTGCTCTGTGTAAGATTCGCCTGGGTCAGGTTCCAGTTCCACCAGTTGATGACGTTGGTGGTGATGGTTGGCATTGCAAAGGTCGTAGTCTCCACGATCCGAGTGACCGTCGTGGTCACAGTGGCAGCCCCGGAGACGGTTACTGTCTTCGTCGTGGTCCAAGCTATCTCGATGGGCGTTACCAAGGGCTCGATCGTGAATGTGGTCATCGTCGACAACGTGGAGGGCGCGACGATGAGATTAGCCGGGGCAATGGCCGTGGCAGTATTGGAATCTGGATCAAGGACAGACTGATCAATATAAATGTCGCCTGATCCGTCGCTTCCACCGTCGAGCTTAGCACCACTCATCGAGGTATCCGAGGGGTCAAGGTCGTTGGGATCTCCAAGGGACCCAGGACCACCTTCGTCAAGAGCCCAGGCGAATAGGCCCCCAATGCACTTGCTATTAGCAAAGTCGGCCTTCTGCTTCAGAGTTTTAGCATTGTCGAAAGAAACCCTGACATCGTCAGCTTTGCTGCTACTTCATGAGTCTTGATCAGGTGGGAAGTGTTATACCATTGATTCTCATTCCAAGTGATCCAGTTGACAGCCGCTTCGTCACTGTATATGACATCTGGGCTATACTGTTCCAACACCCGATTGATCTCGTAGTTGGACAAGATGCCGCTGGTGCCAGTGCACTTTCCCGGCGTCGCACCACCAGCTTCGTATGCCGATTTGTCGAAGGGGCAACCGGGAGTGGTGCAAGTCGTGTCTTTAAGAGTGAAGGATCGACCGTAAAAGCCCAGACCGAGGAGGACTTTTGCCGGGTCGATGTTGTTACGCCACAAGAGATTCAGGCCGTCCGCAATCTCTGTACTGGAGCTTTAGTATAATTTGGTATAACAGGGGCCACCAAATTCGAGTACCTACCGCTGATATTGGTGTGAGGGTTGACGACGGAAGATGTGTATTCACTATTTCCATCCCAAGTGCCATGGATGTCATAGGACATGAAGTTGAAGTGGTCAACATACTGCGACATACCTTTGATATCGAACCCTTTCAAATACCCTAGCATATCGTCAGCAAAAAAAAAAAAAAAAAAAAAAAAAAAAAGAAAGAAAAAAAAAAAGAAAAGGAGGGAGGAGGAAGACGAACAGTAAGACGATGGTAGTGTGGCAGTGATCTGATAAGTGTCACCACAGGCGGCCTTGAGTTCCTTGAGGAAAGTGACGAAGTTCTCTGTGTCCGCGCTGATACCACCTGAGTTGTTCAGCAATGAGAAACGAACGACTTGGATGTTGGATATTTAGCTCTCCTACCTCGATCACTGGCAGCCGGATACTCCCAGTCAATATCAATACCATCAAAGCCATACTCTTCCATGAACGAAGTGGCAGATCCGATGAAGGCCTTGCGTGTTCCCGAGAAGCGCACCATGTCTGAGAAAGGCTCTCCTCCGAGGTCCCAGCCACCAACAGAGATAAAGACCTTAAGAGAGGGCTTCTTTTTCTTGAGCGCAACAAGGTCTCTCATGTACTCATCGTCATGATCGTAGGTTGTGATGATGCGAGAGCTACTGGTATCGATGCCGGCAAAGCTGTAGAATATATGCTGAAAGGAATGAGCGAATCGATCTTACTGAATTCCACCAAGCACTCACCGTCCAAGGGTTAACGTTGATATCGGAAGGAAGAAGCACATCACATGGATGTTGATAATTCCATGCTTCGTAATAGCCGGCATATACCTGCTTGCTGGAGGTTCCAGAGCACGAACTATGTGGTTTTAGCATCGGGCCACAAGTAGGATGGAACAATATCACGTACGGCTGGACGACATCGTCGCATCCACTCTGACATCCAGCACCACAGAACTCTTCAGTCGTACCACAGAAGCTATTCAAATGAGTACATGTCCTCTCGGTTGAAAAGCTCCAAGAGTTATCTCTTACCCAAACTGCGAACAACACACATTCAGGGGACAAGTTGTGTTGACAACAGGCGCGTAGACTACCCTGTCTGTTAGTTCCTCTCTTGGATCATGTATGTCAGGTACCAGACTCACGACCGCACTCTGCCTGGGCATCGCAGTCCGAAACGCAGACATCATCTCCACAGAAGTCGGGACCAAAACCACAGTAGCCACTGGTGCTGCAGCATCCGCTTACACACCGCTGGGTTTCTGAGCAGGTACCACTGGTGGCGGCGAGCACTGCCGAATTTGCTAGAGCTGTGGCCAAAGCCACGGCTTTGGCGAAATTCAGGAGATTCATTTCGGCAATGACGCTCGCAGACGCTTGCTGTCGAGGTCAGGGGACGGCATCGCTATATACTAGTACTCTCCTACCTCTTGTTCACCTCACATGGGCATTGTGGCTCCCCACACTAGAACCGTCTCGCGTCGAATTCATTTCCATCGGCTCGCTAAACAGAACAAGTTATCTCCGATATTCCATTTCGATACCGTGACCCGATTGCAACCTCCGGCGTCGTGTCCATTGGGGGAAAACTCTGCTTCGGTCCCCACATGTGATATCTTGCTTTCTGGCCTCGAAAGGTCACGAATATCGACCAGCCTGCACTGGCTTGTACTATACAGACACCGGCGTTGGTCTAATTTAGGGCGCCGAGCATGTCTCACACGGAGCTCCGGTCTAGATGGAATTAGCGTGAAATTAGCCAGCGCGGGACATTGCATTGCCAGGTAGTGGAGCCAACATCATTAGAGCGGAAACAAAACGTAATTATCGGCATGGATGATCCGTGCTCTATACCTAATACGAGGTAGAAAAAAGCAGATACTAAGGTGTAAGCCTCTCTTTTCTTTCCTTCCGCAACACGAGGGCTCTTGGTTTGCGATATCTCCGTGAAGCATCATGTTGGGTCGTTCCCTTCGGGTTCAGGCGCTTTTGCTCGCTGTCGCCACTGCAGCTCTTCAAAGCCAGAAGAGATGGACAAATGGCGATACTGCAACAGGGACGACTGATCCGAATGTCACGAACGACTGCACTTATTGGGCAAACAACATTGCCTCCGATGATACGTGTGACGCCGTGGCAGCGTACTTTGATATCACAACAGATCAGCTGATCAAATGGGTGCGTGGTCCTACTGAGCCGACGAGAATGTGGAATTGACGGAACAGAACCCTGAACTGCTTCCCGATTACTGCGTATTAATCACTGGCTGGAGCTACTGCGTGTCGGGTCCGGATGTGAATATCAACACCGTGGTGTCCACTGCCACGCCCACCACGACGACTGTGCCCGGGACTCTCACGTACAATGGAACAGCTGCCCCGACTCAGAGCGGGCTCTCCTCCTCCTGTACAGAGTACTACCTGGTGCAAAATGGCGACAGCTGCTACACAATTCAGGACAAGTACATGAGCTTCACGCTTGCCGAGTTTTACTCTTGGAATCCGTCAGTCCTGGAAATCCAAGGCGCAAGGACGTGCACCCCTGACAATTAACACTCTTTATAGATCAATTTCGTCCGGATGCGGCAATCTGCAACCTGGATACTTTGTCTGCGTTGCTGCTGGAGGCTCAGCATCGACCCCCTCCTCTGCCACAGCGACAACAACGACCACCACCAGCAGTACGACCGGGCCATCGGCATCCGCCTTTCCAACCCAACCCGGAGTCAGCTCGAACTGTAAGACATGCGTTCCTCCATGTGAAAATAGCCGTCTAATCTGTCCTCTCTCCAGGCGATGAGTGGTTCTACGTGGTCAATGGTACGAGCTGTCAGGATATCCTAGACAAGTACAGTCTGTCTATATCCCAGTTTTACAGCTGGAATCCGGCCGTTGGGCCTACCTGCACCAACCTGTGGCTGGAGACGTACGTCTGCGTCGGTGTGTCATCTAGTACGAAACTGTGCACCCCACCTTGCTTGCGTTTGATCTAACCAGACACCAGGAACATCGGCCTCCGCCACCATCACTCCCACCAAGTCGACATTGACCACCAGTGCCACCCCTACTGCTTCATCCACAAGCGACGTGCCATCTCCGCATCAGAGCGGTATCGCGTCCGACTGCGTGCAGTATTACATGGCTCAGTCGGGTGACAGCTGCTGGTCTATCGTCAACCAGAAATTCACCTGGCTGACTCAAGACCAATTTGTCAAGTGGAATCCGGCGTTGGGGACTAGTTGCGCGCTGCTCGCCGATGAGTATTACTGCGTTGCGGTGAAGACCGCGCAGCCAATGCCGGGAACCATCAGCACCTGCGCGAAATGGCATCTGGCGGTGTCGGGAGACGGCTGCTGGGCCATTGAACAGGAGTACGGCATTACCGCCGCGCAGTTCAACCTGTGGAATCCCCAAGTTGGGTCCGACTGCGCGGGGTTGTGGCTGGGGTACTATGTATGCGTTGGGGCATAGTTCCGGGTGATCTAGGAGGTCTTGACATATATATTCATATAGTCTGTGGAAGAACCAATGAAGACGTGTTGAATGACTCAACAGAGTGACTACATGCAAATTGAGTGGGAGCAGTGCTTCTAGCACCAGAACAGCGCAGAGACACCTCCCGGAACATGTCAGTTCATTGTGATTGTCGCTCGTTGATGTTTATGTCATTACTGTATTGGGAGGCTTTGAAATAGACATTCGATAAATTGCGACTGCATTGATAACCAACCCAGTAGATCCTCTGCACTAGATGGACAGAATCATGATTGATTTGTCGATGGATTGACTGACATGTCGACTAGGAGACAGGAATATCATTCGAGACCAGCCGTAGATCTAATCAATATGCCACGGAGAGCTCAGTCACAGATACAAGGATCACACATAGACCATCGACAAAACTAACAATCCCACAAGAATTAGCACGGTTGGCAGTTGAGATTTTGCCGCGCCCGCGGTCTGTCGGGGCTGAGCGGCAGTTGGGTGGGGTGCAGTACCCGAGGGGAAAGCAGCGGCCGTCGAAGTGGAAGGCAGGTAAAGCACCGGCGCTGTGGCGTTGACTGTCGTATCAGTCGTCACGGCCGGTCCTTCAACACAGTAGCTCCAGCCCTGGATCAGGGTACAGTAGTCCTTGAGCAAGGACGGGTTCTACGATGATCTCGTTAGCTCCCACGACGAAGCCAAGCGTGCAAGGTCGACGACAAGGCTTACCCAAGCATGCAGGTGGTTGAAATCAATGTCAAAATGCTCCTGGACCTGCTCGCAGGTTGCACTGGACGAGATATCGTTGGCCCAGTAGGTGCAGTTGCTGGTCACGTTGGGATCGGTGGTGCCAGTAGCGTTTCGACCGGTTGTCCATCCGCCCTCCGCCTGGACGGAGCTGACGGCGCCCATCAACATGGCAGTCAATAGGACACTGAGGGCCTGCATGTTCAAATAGTGGAATCGTATCGGGAGAAGAGAGGGGAAACGGTTCAGAGAGAGTGTGATGGAATGAGGTGTCGACTGCTCGTGTTGGGACTTTACTTTCGGTCGATTAGTATCGGTGTTTGTTCTCAAATCGCTCCAGGCTTTTGGTCATGCTTCTCGATCTTTCCTCAATTAGGTGCTCTCACCCCGTAATTCGACGTCAATACGCTCTGTGTTTACCGAACAGGTACCATACGAACTCGGTGGGTAGAATAATCTGGTTCGTAGCATCCGATGCATCCCAGGAGGTCCACGGAGTCTTTGGATAAAGGGGTCATTGGATGACTTCTTTCGCCTCCGGTTGGGCCGGAGATTAGTTGACGGACCAGGCCAGGTACGAGGGGCTTTTGTGTCGATAGTTGCATGGGGCTCATGCCCTCGGGCCTTCTACACGTGGTTGGTCAATACGGCGAGTCTGAGACAACCTCGGGCGAAAAGGATCAAGGTAAATGTAACCTGCGTGTTAGTGCCCAGTCCTTGTGGTAGTCGAGTCCAGGGACTCCTCGAGATGCCCACCTTGGGGGCCAAGACGCTAAGGGATGCTAAGGGATGCTAAGGGATGCTAAGGGATGCTAAGGGATGCTAAGGGATGCTAAGGGATGCTAAGAGGTGCTAATAGGTGCTAAGAGGTGCTAAGAGGTGCTAAGAGGTGCTAAGAGGTGCTAAGAGGTGCTAAGAGGTGCTAAGAGGTGCTAAGCGATCTAGATCGAAGATGGTGTGCCTTGGCAACACTTTCTGCCAGGTCGGCTGTGGTACCTGCTGCTGGATACTAGTCCAGACCCTTCATGGACCCTTGTACGGATGAAGCCACAAAAAAAGAAACCGGATCTAAGAGCATCCACCACGGCATTGCATCCTCTTTGGGACGGATTATGCCGGATTCTCATATACGAAGGACACGCGCAATTGCACTAGGCAGTAGTAACGTGGGGGTGAAATGCTCGCGTAGGTAGGTAGGATATACTTCGTATTCAATGTGTAATTTGAATCGCGAAATAATCTCGCCGCGCACTAAAGGCCCCATCTATATCGCCTGGTCGGCCATAGCTTGTGCAGTCTACGGAGTATGTTAGTATCAGAGGCGAGCGACAAGCGCAGATGAAGGAGCCTCCGCTTGGTAAGCCACAAATCTGTTATAGTGTATGAGGTCCCATCTGTGATGCTCTGAGCGATCGTCGTTCTGTTTTCCAATCTCCCTACATCTCGTCTGACTTCTGTTACCCCAATCGTTTATTGCTCACTTGTCTGGCGGGATTGCCACTTTTTCTTTGACATGAGCGTATTAGCTTGCATTGGACTCCTCTTGGTGCTGGCTGTTGCCCAGGCCGTTGGACACGGAAATCACCATGGGCACTTTCACATCCACCGTGGTGTCTCTGGAGCCCCAATTGTCAAAAGAGCGACCGCGGCTGGAAGGTCCAACATCTTTATCGACGACACCACCTGTGCGGGGCTAGTGGGAGGACTGTCCCAAATCTTCGACAATGTTTTGACGGTGGTGCGTATTGCGTGAATGGGGCTTGGATGTGAGCGGATGTGAAGGACTCACGAGAATTACAGGCGACTGCGGCGCAGAGCGCAATCCCCGGCCTGGAGAGCGCCCCTGGGAAAACCCCGCAGCGAGCTTTCCGCAAATGAAAAATCCAAAGTCGATCTTTTCACGGTGTTATACGGTTACTTTGACACGCAAGACCTCGGTGAATTGTACATTGCGAAACAGAAGCTCGATAACATCACCAGTGAGTTAGTCACCAAGTCGGTTGAGCAGAAATGCTGACAGACCCGGAGACTTCCTCGACAGATATGTTGCCGCGTTGTCATCCAACAGCTTCCATCTGGATGTGTACTGTAACGAAAACGTTTGGCGCAATACTGGTGTCCAAGATGACGAGGGGGACTGTAGGTGCTTTGCGGCTTCCACGACCAAACTCGGATGACATGAGATAACCACGAACTCAAGGGATTTTTGAACTGATACCCCAAATGGGAGAAACCATGTATTCCGACACTCCAAACCCTTGCGATGAGACTATTGAAGACCATGATGGACAGAAGGGCGACTTGGCCGCATTTACGAGCAATTCTAATGGTCTCCAGAAAGATTTTGTGACAATCTGTTCGGACGCCTGGGACGGATGGAACGAGCAACTGCCGGCGAGGAGGGCTGGAGGCTACAGAGGGTTGGGGGCAGAGGACTTGGATGAGGTCCTCGACAACAGCCCTGAGCCTACGTTCATCCATGAATTGACTCACGTGAAATCGCTGTTTGGTAAAACCGGAATTATGAGTGAGTGAGAGTTATTATGCTAGACCATATCTGGTCAGAACTTGTCTAATATGCGGCAACGCTTTGTGATGGTAGAGGACATCGACCTTCGCGATGTCGATGACACGGCATACAAATTCGAAGGTTGCACTGACCTTGCCGATGAGGATAAGGCGGTGACCGATATCGATAAGATGCGTTCATTGGCAAACGCCGGTGAGTATGGCCTCAGAGGTCGTTTAACTGAAGGTTCACTAACACTCCCACCAGACACCTTTACATATTTCCTTTGCGGCAAGTACCCTGCTCAAGTGTGCGCGAACGTCATATTAACTTCTACTTTAATAGGGCTCTATATGGATGCGTGTAACTGGTCTGACGGATTCTGCCGAAACCCCGCCACGGTGGATTAGACTTCTGGTGCATTATGGTATAGGAAAGGAATGTGTTGTGCGTCTGGAAGAAGCATTCGGTAGGTACTCCTGTGGTATGATAGTACATGATGGAGGTATACTACTGTCATACTGGCGATTTGCTTAGTATGATTAGTTCATGTTAAAAGCTAGATGCGTGAAGCAGTGGATTAAATAGGGCCTGGTCACGGCAACTATTTTGTCCATTAGTCGTGTTCTAGTGCTATATGAATCTCATCAGAATCCCTACCTACGTGACTCCCTTACCGTGTATATATAGATCTGAATGAAGAACTTACATACATAAAAGCGTATTGTATAGAACTACTGAAACCTCTTGACTCTTTGATACCAAATGTTAAACAGTCTGAGGGCGAATCTACACGACCACAGTTTGTATATACTTGGTAGTGAGTGAACCAGGGGCAATTTTGATGGGGGCCAGACTTTGGCCGGGTGGAGGTTAGTCCGACCCTTACAAAGTCTAGGCTTCCCCTTCGGCCACGTATTCTCCCCCAGTCCCAGTCACCACATCTTCCCTCCATTATTATGTCAATGCTTTTACTCCCGCAGGAGCTACTTATGCTCATCGCGGCTCAGCTCGACTGTCGAGACTTGAACGCGCTTCTCCGGACTCATCCGACTCTCTACGATCTGCTCATCGGCTGCCTCTATCGATGGAATGTGAGAAGCCATGGGTTCGCCGCATTGATCTGGGCAGCGAAAAGAGGCTCTATCCGCACGCTTCAGCGATTTCTCGATATAGGAGTGGATGTCTCCTGGAGATCGTGGTATCGAGCACAAACAAGTTACAGACCACGGAGTCACAAACCACGCCGGCCTCCATCAATGGCAGATACGAAACGCGACCATCCGATCTGCCATGCAGCAACCTGCGGACAAGCAGACTTTATTCGGAAACTTGTTGAAAATGGCGCCGACATCGATTTCAAAGATGTTTATGGTCGAAGCCCTCTAGCTTTAGCCGCTCGCCAAGGCAACTTCGCCTTAGTTCGGATGCTTCTCTCACTCGGCGCGAACCTACTATCCTACGACCGTCTTTTTCATCGTCCAGCAGCAAATGCTGCTTCTCAAGGCTATTTTGATATCGCCGTCTATCTGCTTCAGGAGCTAGGCAAATATAAGCACTCTAGATTGGATCATACAATCATGGCTGAGATACAGTGGGTGCTTCTCTACGCGGCGAAAGAAGGGAACGAAAAACAGATACGTTGGTGTCTATCTAAAGGGGCTGATATTAATTTCCAATCGAGAGGAGAGCGGTGTACACCACTCTGTGGCGCTTTATTATCAGCACCGGCGCCATTAAGAGTTGTTAAGCTTCTACTCGACCGTGGTGCAGATCCAAACATTCCTCTTCCGGGTCAGAAGTTCAGTCCAGGCTGGAAGCTACCACCAATTCCACCACTTGGTCTAGCTGTGCGCCGCGATGAAAGCTTGCAGATTATGAAAATCTTATTAAAGGCAGGTGCGGATGCGAGAGCGTGCGAGGTAGCATTATTCGATGCAATCCGATTAAAGAAAGCCACCGAGTTCCGGCTGTTGGTAGATAACCACGCCGATCTTAATATACGTCTGGTACGCGAGCCTCTTGTGGAATGTGCGCGGCAAAGTGACTGTCAGAGCATTCGAGAAGTTGGTCTCAGGATTGATGATGCGGCTCCTACACGGGAGTTGGCTTTCCCCACAAGGATATGTGGCCGGCCTGCACGTCGCCGGCTCAGACACGACAAGCCTGTGAATGAGACCATTCTGCCCATTCGCTCTCATGTTCCAGGATAGCCTCATGAATCAAATAGGACACTTCAAATAGCAAGAGCTTCGATGGAAGCTGGTGATCAGCCTTGGCAGTCGTAATATCTGATAGGAATACGGAACGATAGATAAACTGGAGTCCTGAATGATCAGCGAAAGCTCGTAATCCCGTGCGTCTAGATAGGTGCTCTGCAAGAGAACGAAGATGAGATGGGAGTTGCTTCAGTATACATGCTACAGGGCGGTGTTCTCATTCTCTATATGGTTCTTATCCACAGAAAAGCTGGTACATACGACCATAGGGTGTGGAAAACAGGGCTTCCCGTCCGCTCAGCCGTACTTAAGCCACACGCCGGCCGGTTAGTAGTTGGGTGGGTGACCACCAGCGAATCCCGGCTGTTGTATGTTTTTTAACCTCTTTTTTTGTTTTTATTGTGTTTTTCATTCTAATATATATCGCGGCCAGTTGGCAGTAACCGGTAGTAAACCTCTGGATTGGAGCGAAACAATCCACAGTCACGCCTGGAGCCACAGACGCCTGGGGGTGGCAGTGCAACAGGGGCATGCAGCATCCCAGCGGATACAACACAGCGTCGCCCCTGCACGCTTTACAGCGCGGACTGGCGCCGGTAGACTGTCCGGTTTGCGGACATCGCGAGATAACGCGAGTCGAGGCTGAGGCTGGCAGCACAACCCAGTACGTATAATCTAATTACTTAGAATATATCTTCGGGCAGGAAACTGATACGGTGTAGCGGATGGGCTGCGGTACTTTACTGCTGCTTCTGTCTAGAATATATCCTATACCTAATGATATCGCTAAAGAATATACACTACTACTATAGCAAGTACAGCGTGCTTCTAGCTATCTATTATAGTAGTAGGCGAGTTAAGATATATCAGAACGTGCGACGCGGTTAATCGGGGGTGTTTCTAAATATAATGATCTAGATGTTTTGTTTGCGCATTTGTTGCATACATTAGATACTATGTTGATACCATTCTCTGCGCTCTTTAGTGTTTAGAAATATAATGTCAGTCCGATATACCATATAGAATGAAAATCATAGGCGACAATACTACCGAGAGGGCCTTCGGCGATAGCCGAGGTTTAGCTTATCAAGACGCCGCTAATAGCGCCATGACTCCGGCCCATGGCGAGTCCATCCCCCCTATTGTCGTCGAATATCTGCATGTATCAGATCGATATGTATAATGCCTCTAGATTAAGGACAAGCCTCGCGGGCTTGCGTCACATATCAAAAGCAAAAAACAAGATATTACAAATCAGGATTGTTAGGAAGGCTATATTTATGCTGTGAGTATCTGCGCCAGCGATATTCGTTCGTTTCAAGTCTGGGTAAAGCGGTAGTGGCTCTAAGTATCAGCACTGAAGCGAGATAAAAGGCTTTCCAACATCTTTTGCGACGTACTAACACTTTTACACAGACTAGCCTAGCTGGAGTCGACGGTTAGTGCTCTATTAGATTAACTGGAAGAGGATTTAGCTAGTATCTAGAGTGGGCATGGTTAACCGTTTTATTAACCGTTTTAGCTAAAACGGTTAAAAAATACCGCCTCAGGTATAAAGATTATAGCTTGAATATTAGGTATAATTAAATTTAAAATTGAAATTTATATATATATAAAATTATTACATAATATATATAGAAGTATATTATGTAATACATCTATAATACCGTATAATACTCAACGGTTAAAAAATACACTATAAAAAAGGGTCTAAAATTGATTAGTCATGTATTATTTACTAATATAGCGTAATAGTGGTATTTTATTACGTAATTAAATATTGTATAGCACGTGATATCTAATTTCTTTATTATAACACTATATTACATAATTTTAGTGGGTTAAATACATATTATAAAAGCTCGGTAATTAACCTGAACGGTTAAGAATGCCCACTCTACTAGTATCACAACCGGTTGAAGATACAGTCCGTAACAGGAACTAAAGGCTTAGATTATAATAGAGTCTCTAGTAGATATAGACAGTTTATTAGCAAAGCCGGAAGGCCTATTAGTACCGCCTATTATAGTTATTTGCGACTTAGTATTAGATATCGGGTTAAAATCGCCAGAGACTAGCTTGCAGATTTCTGTCTTTAAAAGATTAATTACGCCTAATCTAGTATTTAGTCTCTTAAAAATATATATTTATCTATTTAATTAAGTTTAATATACTAAGACTGTAAAGATTTCTGGAGTACTATAGCTGCTAGATTCTATTTAATAAAGAGACTAACTCTAAGAACCTGCTATAGAAAATATTAAAATTACCGCTGTTGCTCTGTGCCTACACTCTATGGCCAAAGCCATCGTGCCCTCGCTGCTTTTTCTCGCCGTCTGATTGGCCTAATTTTGATGTTCCTGCGTGCTCCTGTCTACTAGAGTACGTGCCTGTAACACCCGTTACCGTGCCTTACTTATCCTTATTACTATTTACTCTTAACTATACTATATTATTACTATACTATAGTTATACTGTGCCTTCCCTATAGCTTTTATCGAAGAAACCTTCCTTAGAAAGCACCCTTCTGTAAGTGCTATATTTAAATATATTAATAAATTTACTACTATATGTTTTTGCGCGTTACTAACGCGTAAATAAGAATAAATTATCTTTTTTTTAATTAAAAATACTTCTATCTTCTCTTCTATCTATACAGAGTTATATTTTTAGGTCTCTCTATTATCTATCTAGCTATCCCCCCTTAATAGATTTTTTTATCTATTATAAACTCTCTTAGATCTAAATCTGTAAGCCCTACTAGTTCGCGGTTCTATTAAAATATCTATAGAAATATCTCTAGACTTATTACTCTATCTATCTTACTACAATTACTAGAGCTTTTTAATAAGAGATCTACTAGTAAATATCTAAATAGCCCTAGCTAGATCTAATCTAAAAGCTCTGTATTTATTCTAATGCTAAAAGCCTGCTAATTCTATACTTACTAATATATACTAGATATTAGTGCTCTTAGTATAGCTATATTATCCGAGCTTCTAAAGTCTTTTTTAACTATATCTAGAAGATCTATTCTAAACTAGGCTAATTAGTTAGCTGTTAATATACAACCGCCTGCTTCTAGAAGCTAAAAACTCTTTACTAAGGATAGCCAGTAAGCTACTAGTAGTTCTTTCCTACTACTATAGATAGTAGTTTTTTTGCTGTTATTCCGCGTGTGTAAGCTAAGTAGGCTTAGTAAATATAAACGCTAACTCTAGCTAAGTTTATCCGCGCCTAAATTAAGAAGATCTTTAAATAAAATTTTAAAAATAAAGAAAAGTAGATTTAGTAAATTCTTCTATAAAAATATATAACTAAAATCTTACTTTAGCTAAAGCTAATCTAATAGCCTAAGTATCTAGATATCTATAATTTAGCGGTAGCGGCTAATTTTAGCGCTCTTCTAAATTCTAGTTAAGAGTCTCTACTTATCTTACTTACTAAAAGTATTAAATAGCTTATTTAGTAGTTCTATTAAATAATTAAGAATTACTGTATTAATAAATTTAATTAGATTATTATTAATATTTTTTTTATATAATAATCTAAAATCTAGGATCGACCGATTTAGATCTATCTAAAGCCGATAATCTATATATCCTACTAATAGATATAGTAGTAACTAATTTATTTTATTTATTAAATAAGCCGCTTAGACTAGATAATTCTACTCTATTATTAATTTATATTAGTCTAGCTCGTAGTATTAGATTAAATAGTTAAAGCCGGGACCCGGCTACTGCGGCGAATAAAAATAACTATAGCTATAATAACTACTATTGCTACTACTACTACTGTAGCTATAGCTGCCAGCCTAGCTAAGTAGAAAAAACTCGACCAAGTCTATCTAGACTTATTAATCGTTCTATTAGACTATCTTTTAAAAAAAAAGCTCTATAAAAATACTTTAATAGACTTTTTTATTATTTTTAAAATTAATCCTTAGTGTTAGATATTTTAGAATCTATACTTTTATATTTATTATTTTTTTAGGCTAGTAAAGATTGCGTAGATACATATTATAGAATAGATAGTTATTTTAATAGAGCGTAAATTTATAGTCTATCTAATAGATGTTTTAAAGAATATATAATTCTAATTTCTTCTTTTTAAAATATAGACTTTTTTTAGCTAGATTACCTGTCTCTAGACCTACGATAAAAAGATTTAAAATAATATAATTAGTTTTAGCTATATTTATTAGAGTAACGATAAGTAGACTTTAAGCTACTATAATCTCTATCTAAATATAACTAATTTTTATAATTTTATCTATATTTAGATAGAGCTTGTATAATAGAGTTTAGAGAATCTTTTTTTTTTATAATAAGAAGACGCGAAAAGAGATTATTTTTATTTTATTTTTAGAGTAGCTATAGAATAATTTAGTTAATAATATATATAGATAGAACTTTCTATAGTATTTAAGGAACGGGAAAATACTAGGCCTCTCTAGTAAATAATAGCTAATAAATCGGGTTTTAACTATAGACTAGCTGCGGGCTAAATTCCTTAATATTTAATTTAGTAATTTCTAGATTATCTAGCGGCCGGCCGCGGTTAATTAGTATCTTTAATAAATAGACTAGTTTTTAGAGTAATTACTGCTGCTTATTTATATTACCGCCGAATAGCTAGGATAGAGAACTAAGTTTATTAGTTTTTAGTATAGTAATATTCTCTACAGACGCTACTAGAATATCTTTATTAAATATAGGCTAGTAAGTATAGTAATTTTTTACTATAAGAGATATTTAATTAATAATTTTATAAAAATTATTTACTAATATTTATTTAAGCTGATTAGCGAGTTCCTAGTCTACTATCTCTAGTTAATTTTATCTTTCTAGTAAATAATCTAGTAATTTATTTACTAATTAATAGGCCCGCGGTTATTGTTCTTCTAATCTAAAATAATAAAGAATATTTAAAATCTAAGCTAACTACAGACTATTCTATAATATAAAGCAGCGATTTACCTATAGATAAAGCTAAATATTACTTTTTATTAGTATGCTACTATAGCTATCTTATATATTTATCTTAAATACAGCAGGTTTAAATAGAACTATAGTACGGATTCGGCTGTATTTAATAAATAAGCTAGCTATAGAATCTAGGCGGCGGGGACTATGTACGCGTAAAATCTATAAAAAATATCTAACTATATAGAAGGACGATAATAATAATATTAGATAATTAGCTGTAAGTAGTATTAGTTTTTAGGCTTTATAGTCTCTCTAAAACCGCGGAAGCGTTTTATAGAGAATCCGCTAGAAAATATAAAAATAAAGCAGACTTATATCTTTATTAAAATAGAGAAGAACTAGGTTTTTAAGTAATACTTTTTTTTTTCTTTTTATTTCTGAAATATGCTAGATAATAATTACTTATATATATAGATATATATATACTACTATAGAATAATTATATTAGTTAGAATAGAGGTTCTCCTGAGGAAGCCTTCCTCTAAACCTCCTAGATATATTA